TCTGCGCTCTTCGGCCGCTCGAAGCTGGCCGAGCGCCGAGCGCACAGCCGCCGCACACGTACACGGCTGCTCGCTTGTGTGCGCTGTGCTGCTGCTTGCTGTAAGCGGCTTGAATCTACCATCTCTGCCTGGTGACCACCCATGATTCGCTAAAAGCTTTCCCCCGGATTTGTAGATGGCGTTAGGTAGGCTACTACCGCATACATATACATCACATCGATGAGCAACGGCCCTAGGGCCGTATTCATAGTCGAATCTCAAATTTGCTCTTAAGACGATCTTGGTCAAGGCGGCCTTATTCAATCAAAATTGTCTTAAGATTGGTAGATTTCATAGTCGTGAAACAAGGCGGTCTTCACGAAGAAGATTTCGCTCAAGGAAGTCTTATTTGATTTGAGATCGCCTTGGCGAAGACCGTACTTAAAACCATGCTTATTCTCGATCGGCTGTTTCCGTACTCTTTCCGTTGTTTCCTCCAATAGGAACTTTGGATTTATTATTATCCGCACTTTCATGTATGCAATCAATGGACAAGTGAGATAGTTTTGAAGTGAGGTTAATGGACATACAAACACAAGTATGTATATAAACAAATGATATATATGCATATGTAAAAAATATATGTTATGTTTGTGTTTTACAGATCCACTTTTTTCTGAAGGATGACACACTCACGACTTTATGCAGTGGATTATGAATTTTTTTAAACGAGTTATATTTTAATTTTTTTGTTGCATTAACAACGATATGTCTACTAATAGATTATTTATCTTATGTTCTGTACTTTGTATACATATATGTACGTGTGTATATGTATGTATATAATATAATGTAAGTTTATGTATGCAATATTATATGTTATATAATATTATAAATTACAGATGTGTTTAGTTCAAAGTGCAATTATGTTGCCTAAGATGTTATTAAAAAAAAAATTTTAAATTATGTTACTTTATTAAGTTACTTAAGTCACTGGTATGTGCCTTACATACATTACATATATTATGTTTGAAAAAAATAAATCAATGTTCTTCAATCCATCGTGTGTAATAACTTTCATTATAAGCTTCTTATCCTATCTTCTTATCCTAATTATTATAAAATGCGTACGTTATCTTCATTAATCACACTCAAGAGGTTATAATTATTACTTACATAATAAACGTACGTCATCTTCATTAATCACACTTAAAAGGTTATAATTATTACTAACATACTAAAACGTAATAATTATTACTTACATAATAAAATGTTTTAATGAAGCTTGTGTAATTAAAAGGTTTTAATTCTAAGTATTAATAGTCACGTTACTTGTATAATAAATATATTTCAGATAAACGAGACGTTTTTGAAGTAATATCGACTGACCAAAGTGTAGAATTATTGGAATCTGATAATGAAGGGGTTACATAAACGCACACAGAAAAGATATTTTTCAAGGTAATATTTATTCATGTTGTATATTTATATGTTAACAAATTTTTTTTAATGTATATAAATAAATGCTAAATATGTATATAAAAAGCACGTATTGTGTTTATGCTTTACAGATCCATGTATTTCTACAGAGAAAGATGATACGTTAATGATTGCAGTGGAGAGGAACAAGAAAAAGATGTACGAAAAGAAGAATTGTCTATCTGAACAGTCGTTCGATAAGAGCATCTCGTGCGAGAAAACCATCTCCAGGTTGCCAGTGAGGCTCGGCCACCGGGACTTTATTATTGACATTTTCTACTTCTTCATCATCTTCTTCCAACTTATCATTTAAAATTAATGAAAGGTTGTGAAGAACAGCACATGCCACAACGATTGATGTGGACGTTAACAATTTTGTGCCAAGTCCTTTTGACAGACACGGAAATCTACGTTTCCATATGCCAAACGTCCTCTCAACAATTCTCCTTGTTCTTCCATGAATTGTATTATAACTGAAATTAATATATGTTATTAATAAACATAATACAATTAAACAACACACACACACACACACACACACACACACACATATAAAATAATAATAAAAATTATATCCGAACAGTCGATCAATAAAAGCATTTTGTATGAAGAACCCGTTTCTAGGTTGTCAGTGAGGTTCGGCTACCGGGACTTCATTTTCTACTTTTTCATTATCTTATCAGGAGAGCGGTCAGAACGGTCACAAGATTTCTGTAAAAATAAAATATTTTGTATTAATGATTACACATGCACTGACTGTATTCTTTTATTAAAATCTAACTACTACGCACAAACTCTTCCGTAACGTATATTACGCAGTAGGCCTATTCTGTAACTCTTAACAACACCTCGTTATCGTTGCAATGTCTTTGCGCAGCTTTTTCACGTAGTAAAAC